GCCCGACACAGCGCCCCGCCCGCCGGGACGCTCCTCCCACCGCCGAGAGAGTCTGCGGTTGGCGTCGGCTCTCGCCGGGGCAGCGGCGGTCGGGAGGGGGGAAAAAATCGCAGGGCGGGGGGCAGCCCCCGTGCCCACACCCAGCCGGGCACCGCCGCTGGGACCGCGCCCTGCGCACCGGGACTTGCACCCTTTCGGCACCTGGGGGCTGCAGCAGGCGTGTCCGCACGGACGGGCACATGGTGCGCTCTGGTCTGTCCGGCACCGTTACACCAAAACCTGTACTGAGGCCGGGAGTTCCAGTAACCGAAAGAAACATTCCCTGTTTTCCGTAGTTGCATTGTGTGGTCTAATTTCATATATCCGTGTGTGTGTAAGTATATTTGCCTACAGACCTCGCACTGCGCTGTGTCCTGGAATTCCCGTGACTCTCGCATCCGACCCTGTACCTGCACACGAGGAGCCACAACTCCAGCCCGCTCCGAACCAAGGGAGCGCCCGGCGAACCCCCTGGAGCGCGTTCCAGCTCAGCCTGACGGTGCTTTTACACTCACCAGGGTTGGGGAGGGCAGGTGGAGCGATGAGAGGCAGACAGAAGAGAAGCAAAACTCTGCACCCCCCCGCCACCCAAGCATGCCCGCAGCAGAGCGCGCTGATAAAATGTCCTGGTACCGCCTGAAACTTCCACCGGCGCTCAGCTGCTGTTCGGATGCTCCGGGGTGAACAATGTCGCAGCTATCGTTTCCCTAGCTGGCCGCACTAAGTACGTTAAGGTATGGAAATCTTCGCAGTGCCCGGCTCTGAGATCCCGGCGGGATCCGCTAGTGCTGGGCTCACGGCTCCGCCAGGGCTCGAAGGATGGATTCCACCAGCTCCCCATGCTGCAACACGTAAAATTAGTATGGATATTAAAAACTCCTTTGTTCAGAGCCCTGGCCAGCCAGACCTCACAGATACCATCCCAGCCCTCAGAAAATGCTGCTGTATTTTTGCAAACCGTGATTTGTACGGCAATAGCAAGGAGTTGTAAAGCAAACTGACACGGTTAAATAGCTGTAACTGTGTCCAATAATAAATGGCATTACATTATACGGCAAGACTAAACCCCATTCCTACGCTCTTTTACACTCAAAGGTCTCAAATTATTTTATACAAAGAGATACACTTTACAACAGCTGCTTTGCAGATGGGGAAACTGAGTCACCTTGACAAAACTGAGAACAGAATTGGGGTACCTTGCTGCTCAGGCTGGTAATCTAGCAATGACATTACATATATGAGACAAGCCTCGCATTATATTTGTGATATAACTTTGAATTATATTTACAGTATAATTTCTTGACACCATAACCTTCTTCACCATTCTGCTCTCAAGGTTCTGGCATCAGCCTGTGTGTCTGATCTCAAAATGACCCTTCACAGTATTGCCAAGGTGTCAGAGTGACACAGAGTGGTAGCACCTCGGTTTGCCTGCAAAGATACGGGTCCACACGAGGGCTGAGGGAGACTGCAGCCTGCCCTGCTTCACATTCCACATCGCTTTATGATTCCGACCATGTTACTAATGCAGCTTTGGACTGGGCGAAGTCTGAACGCCACTGACGGGGGCCCTATTCCTGAAATTCCTGTACCCAGCAGAGGGTGGATCACAAGCATAACTCAAGTGATGAAATGTAACACATTAGACTTGGTGAGGGGGTAAATAACTCATCTGAAAGAGCCAGCTGGACAAATAATCCAGCTCCAGAGATCTCCCCTTACTCTTCTGTGTGATATTACTACACAGTACATTTAGCAAGAAGCTTAGGTGAATCTGTGCTATATCCCATAGCTATGTATTTAACCCCTTGATGACCCGATGACAAAGCTTGCTTAGCTCTCAGAAGCTAATCTGGTCTGTTTAGGTATAGCTGACTGTGAGAAGTGGTAAACTGCAGTGTCCTTTTACAGTCCGTTTTCTGTTCTGGAAGAAAAAAGGGGCTTTGCAGAAATCATTAAAGTGCAAATCTCCCTACTGCATATTTCTGGCACACTGAATGAGATAAACAGCTGAGGCCCTGGTCACTTGTGCCTGTTATTATTACAGATAGAGCTGCAAGTTGGGAGTAGCAGCAGTTGGTTAACATCTTCTGTTGAGAGACCCTGTTTTCAGCTAGTGATATGATTCCGAACTTTAAATATTGAGGCTGAAATTGAGGGGGGGGGGGGGGGTCACTTGTGCAGTCGTTTTTTGGAAGCCTCTGGAAAAAAATGGTGCAGCTATTTCTGAGCTGTAGGTCAGAAGATAAAATAGGTTTTTTGATGATGTTAAAAATATCTGAGCTGTTTCATTAAGGAGCTCTAACATCTCATAATTTGGGGCAAGTAAGATTTTATCAGGATGATGGTTTGGATTGGAATGTGCATTGGTCAGAAAAAGTGTGGTTTTGTCAGTGCCTTTTCAGACTTGCTCAGTTGCGTGCTCCTTTAAGGGAAACAGGTCCGGTGTGACAGATGAGACATGTGATGCCAAAAAATGACTAAAAGGTAGTTAGCAAGGGAGGGGGCATTAAGGTGCCAGATGTTCTAGAAGCAAGTAAAAACTCTGTAGGAAAAAGAGCTGTTGTGGTTGGTGTTTAAAGGTGTTTCAGAGGAAGTATTAAGCTGAAGAGAGCAGTTTATCATTTGAGAGACTCTAGCCTAGAAACCCTAGTAAAGGTTGTGTTTTGGCATAGATACTCCGTAGTAAGTGGTTCTTCAGTCAGGAGGGGGTAAAACAATATAAAAAGGGAGCTTGATGTAGTGGGAGTTTGTTGCCCTTTTGTGTTGCGTTCACAGACCAGCCTCAAGGTGGGGAGAGGTGAATCTGAGCCGGGATGGGGTTTGTCCTGCTTTGAAGAGGTAAGGTGTACTTCGTACAGCGAGCTTTTGATGAAGGAATCTTAGAAGAAACTCGCCTGGTATCTGCCAAATTTATTAACCTCTGCAAAGGCATCTCCTGCCAATGATCTATAGATGTGGCTGTAAATGACTGAGTAATTTCTGTGGATGCTTTATCATTCCTCGGTTCTTGTGTGTTGTTTCATGAGCTGGGAGCCCTGCTTGGTCATGCTGCTGCAGAGCCTGGTGCAGCTTGGGCACTCACTGTGCTGGGGAGACAAGTGTCCAGGAGAGCACTGAAGTTCTAGACTATCAAGCTCACATGATTTTCAGTAAGGCTGTTAACTTCGGCTGTGAAGCAATGAAGAACAGCTGTACAGCAGCTGGGCTTCTCAGAAAATAAAATCACTGTCTTGTGGCTTCTGGAAAACCAGACTGTAAAAATCATAACAGTGGTTCTTAAACCGGTGTGGGAGGGAGTAAGAAAGAGGGGCTTTGTTATGGCTGTTGGGGCACGTCAGTGACTTAGCTACTTAATGAGTTCTGGAGCTGCACTTGTGCTTGGGGTTGGTTTGTGGTTAAGCATGCTCACTTAAAGCCTTGAATAGGCCTGACAGAGGGAAATCTCCAATCCAGTTCAAGAAGTTTAGATTTAAATACTTACGTCTGCTTGGTATTAAACAATGCCATCTCTGTGCATCCAGACAAACTTTGTTTAGAGGCTGGAAAGCTGATCTGTGCAGGAGTGTCACAGGAATGGTGGGTGATGTTCCCAAGACCCAGCTGCTCTGGTGTTCTGTCTGGACAGCTTGGCTCTTAAAGAGATTAGCATCAAAGTAAAGCTGAGACACTCCAAGGTGAGAGACTATTAGAGTAATACTGCCTCTTAAGAGCTTCTGTTTCTATTGTTTGTCGACTTTCCTTTTTAAACTATAGCTTTTAAGCTGTAGAAATCATGTCCAGTGAGTGCCTCACAGGTGTGCTGCTTGGGAGGGGCAGGAAAGTGTCTTAACACAGCTGACTTGCTGTGAAGCTTGAGTGAATGGTATTACTAGCTAATTCAATTACCTCTCTGCTGCTATCCCCAACCAGTCATGGGACTAAAACATGGCTTAATGCCCCACTGTAAACTTCTGTCACCAAGACTAGATGAGTCCTTCAGCAGCATTACTGCAGTAGTGATGCAGTCTGCCATCCCTCAGCAACCAGGCTGAAGCTGCAACACAAAGACTCCATTAAAGCAGTGACAAGGGGAGAGGAGTTGGGGGGTGGGGAGGAGGAGAGCTAATCTTCACCGAGTAATCTACCTGAATCAAAACAGAAGTGATCAATCAAGTAAGCTGTGCCTACTTTCTGCCTTTTGTTCTAACAAAGTGATGCTCTCATCAGCTTGATCAGCAGATTAAAGCGCTGGCATCTTCCCCAGGAATTCCTGCGCTGGGACAAGCTGCCTTCAGCCCCCTGTTTAGTCTTGGGCTAAAAAAGGATGGAAGTGGAAGTTCTAGGCTAAGCGTGTCTTTTTTCATTGTAATGTAGGGAAATACTATCTTCCTCTTGTGCATGAGGACAAAGGAAGCTAGGCAGTTTTGCTTAGCTTTCAGTATCTGAATACGTTACTTGTGGCTCCTGAGGACCTCTGAGTGCGTTAACTAAAAAAGTTGTACCTATACTAAGGCAAAAAAAAATCATAAAGCAA